TGGGTTTTTCAGGCATGCCAGGAGGTGGAGAACATGCTGGTGCTTGAGCCCTGTGGGAGGGGGCTTCTAGCCTCCCACCCCTGCTTCAGGGACTGGCTGACCCCATGAGCCAAGAAAGGAGGAGATTCCAGGAGTACACAGGCTGGCTCCAGGCACCGAAGCTGGCATAGGCTACAGCCCAAGGGGTATCTGGATGGTTTATCCACTGGCACCCCCAAGCAGTGCCATCTGTGGGGTGGCAGTGCCTTCTCAGAGCCCAGTAGCAGTAACGAGTAGCCCTGAAGGGTGGCACAGGCAAAGATGCCAATGGGTAAGGACCACAAGAACAGGAAAACAACTACAAAACACGAGGGACCTTTGTGTGACCAAGTTAACTATTGGCAGGACGTCATGGAAAAAAACAATGAGAGCTGAGTGTACAGACAGGAGCAGAGAAACTTAGCTGAGTTCCACTGATGGGACCCACTTACTCACACAGGCTGGGAAAATCCAAGTAACACATGCTGCGTCCATTCTGCAGACACTTAAATGCCTAAGCAGCAAGACACAGTGCCCGGTGCTGGGCTGCATCAAAGAGCAAGAAGGCTCCTGCCTTCAGAAACTTACAAGAAACACACATCTTGCCCTTTCGTAACAGAGTCCCTATATATTCTCATAGCATCTGAAATACTTGACAGATCACATTAATTTTTTTAGTGCATAAATTATTCTTGGCTTCTGTTGTTGATGTCTGCTCATATCCTTAGTTCTTGAGGAAGTGGCACTTATTACATAAGATGTGTGTTTTCCCTGTGGACAGTGCATGGAAGTGTGAGGTTTCCAAACACTATTTACTACCCCCTTCCTCAGCTTTTGTAGGGTGGGGGTGAAAAAAATCACCTTCAGAAAGTTAAAACAATAGAATCAACATAAGATAGAGGAGATCCGCCACTTTAAGAAAAGAAACCACTTTGTTTCATTTGGCCATCTGTCTGTGTGTTCAGTTTGGATTCAGGGACACAGAATTAGGTTAGTCATAATCCTCAGTTCAAGACACAGATTCTTCACTGGTCCCTGAATAGCTTGGGTTTTTTTTTATCTGTTTGTTTAATAATAAATTAAACAATAATAATCTACTACCCAACATGAGATCCAGAACTTAATGAAGCCTATGTTTTCCTAACCCATCCCAACGCTGATGTGATCACTACACACACACACACACACACACACACACACACACACAAATTTATATTTAAGAGCATATATATAACAAAAACTACATTTTAAACACGTGCGTATTTCATATAGACAAGAGAGAGCATGTTAATTTTAGTTGTTTTTCACTTTATATAAAAGGATGTCATCTAAAAAACGTTTCTGAAACTTATTCAGTAATATATATCCAAGATTCATCCATAGTTTCATGTTGTTTTTCATTGTAGTTCATTTTACCACTCATAAAAGCCGCTCATTCTCTTGTCTAGCAGGTATTGAGTTGTTTCTGTGCTGTATTTTACTCTTTATCATGGACATTTTCAAACATATACAAAAGTAGAGAGAATGATATAAGGCAGCAGCGTGCAGCCATCACCAGGGTCAACAATTACTAACATTTGGCCAATCTTATTTCATCTATTCTGCCACACACCACTGGATAATTTTGAAGCAAATCTCAGACATCACCCATAAAAAATTTAGTTTGCCACTTAGATAATAACCTTTTTTAGTGTAGCAATGCAAATACTATGCTTATTCCTTAATATTAGCATAAACCCAGCCTTCCAAACTCCCTGATCATCTCACATCTTTTCTGCCAGCGTGACCCTACGCTTCTGAAATCGCAGAGGGGAGGAAATGCGTAACCTGTGAGGTCACAGCAGAGTCTGAAAGCCAGTGGTGGTTCTCCTCTGGCTGCAGTCAGCTCATTTTCTGGGTCATTGCTGAAGCTGCCAGACTCTAAAGTGGGTGACTCCAAAGAGCACTGAAAAAGTCCAAGGGAGGAAGAGAGGTGCAAGCCGTGTGGCCCCAAGCCTGTAGATAAAGAAAAGTCAGAAGCACCCGAAGCCCCCTGTGCAACGTCCTCACCAAATCCTCCTTCTCAAACCTCGCTCTCCTCTCCTTTCATCGTTAAATTCTAACAAGGTGTTCAAAAACCTCTCCCAGCCCCTTCATACTTCTCCCTCCCTGAATGCTTAGAAAACAGGAGAAGAAGGGAAGAGGAGATGACAATAGGAAAATAGAAAAGTGAAGGTCAAAAACTGCCCAAAACCTCCTTCACCTAAACCAGGGGTTGGCAAACTTTTCCTGTAATTGACCAGAAAATAAACATTCTAGGTTCTGCTGTCTCAACTATTTAACTCTATTTTCAAAGAGCAAAAGCAGCCAAAGACAATCTGCAGACAAACAGGGAAGGCTGTTTCCTAATACTCTTAATTCACAGAAACAGAGGGCAGGCTGCATTTGGCCCACAGGCTGTAGTTTGTCAGCACATAGTCTAAGTATAACCATTTTTATTTCTGTCTATCCCTCCTATGTTTTGCTTATTAAACAGTTACTATAGTTGAAGTAGAAAAATAGAAAAAATGGAAATATAAAATATTGCTAAATAGCTAAGTTAATTAATGTGATTATTTCTGTTTTTCAGATGAGAAAATTGATGTCCTGTGAGATTAAAGGATTTGCCCAAGACTGCAGAGGCACTCTGTGGCAGTGCTTGAACTTGAAATTACAAAGTCTGTCTTTAAAGTCCATGTTTTTAAGTTTTCTCCTTGTTTAGATGCAAACAAATGTCAATATTGTAACCATAAAAATTGTACAAAATTATTTATAAATTAGCTGGGCATGGTGGCACGCACCTGTAGTCCCAACTACTTGGGAGGCTGAGGCAGGAGAATTGCTTGAACCCAGGAGGCGGAGGTTGCAGTGAGCCGAGGTCATGCCACTGCACTCCAGCCTGGTGCCTGATGACTGAGACTCTGTATCCAAAAAAAAAAAAAATTCCTTAATATTATAAATATTTAAGTCTCACAATCTTGATAATTTGGTCATTAAAATATTTATCATTATAATTGATAATTGCTATATAATTTCTCGTCATCAGGGTAAAAAGTTTTATAAATTATTTCATATATCTAACAGTTTTCTTTTATTAAATTATTTTCTAAGCTAAATTCCCAGGAATAGCATCATTGAGCATCTCTCAAACCTCATTGTGATATGCTGGAGAGGAGAGTGCTGATTTGTGGCAACTGCCAATTTCTCTGGTGTAAATACTCCACAATGGCCACCAATTATAAGCTACCAACATGACATCACTGAACAGAGCAAAGAAGGGATGCACATCCTGGGCTGTTGCAAGAAGATGCAAGTTGGTCCCGGCACCCAACTGACTTGGTTCATGTTGCCTTTCTTCTTCCCGGCACCATATTATAAATGGAACTACAGGTTTGAGAAGTATTCCATAAAAACTGTTAAAACACTTGATCGTGTGTGAGTGCACTGGTATCTCACATTTGCTCTAATTTACATTCCCTGGTTCTTACTAAAAGTATCATTTTTCCATGAGTTCCTTTAAGTGTGTCTCTTCTGCAATCCCCTAATCACATTTTTTCATCTGTTAAGGTGATGACGCTACTATAGATTGAATGTTTCTGTCCTCCCAAAATTCATATGTTGAAACCCTAACCCCCACTATAATAATGAATGGTATTAGGAGTTGTGGCACTTGGGAGGTAAGTCATGAGGGCAGCCATCTATCAGCCAGAAAGTGGACCCTCACCAGTCACCAAATCTGCTGGCACCTTTATGTGGGACTTCTCAACCTCCAAAACTATGAGAAACACATTTCTGTTGTTTACAAGCCACCCAACTTATGGTATTTGGTTGTAGCAGCCCAGACAGGCTAAGACACGTGCCTTCTCTACAACTCTGTGTGATAGTTATTCATTCCTTAAACTTGTCTGACACAATTTCATCTAAACCTTGTTTTTGTTATTTTATTGTGTAGAAATTATAATGTAATTAAGCCCACTCACTTTTATTCTTGCAAGTCTATTGGTAATGAACAAGAGAGAGTTAATCCCATCTTCATTTCTTCTACAAATATGTATTAAATGCCTGCTTTGAGGTACTGGGAATACAACTAGGACCAAAATAATCTCTTGCCCTCATGGATCTTCCATTTGGGTGGGAAACACAAATTGAAAATAAGCAAATGTATAATGGAAGGTCTGGTGGTGATAGAAGCTACAGTGATACAAAGCAGGGTGAGGAGACAGAGAGGACGGAAGGAGGCACCGCTTTAGAAAGGCCTCTGGGAAGGTCACATTTGAACAGAGACCTGAGAGGCAGAGTCGCCAGCCGTGCTCATTTTCCTGCCACTGCAGAGTTTTGCTTTTTTTTTAATTGAACTCATTTATCTCTCTGGATTTTGTTTTTGGTATGTGATACTAAAGAGGCTGTTACATTTTTTTCAATTTGTCTACGATCATCTCAATGCCCTTCCTTCTATTTTCAAACTTGTTGTTATAAAGTTGGGTTTAATTCTCGGTTCACTAATACATTCTAATGTGTGTCTTTTTCTAACAGTCAGATTTTAGTTGCTATTTTTTAGAAAGCCCTTTCAGTCTCAAAATGAGCATCCAGCTTCCTGAAAGGCAAACTAGGTCTTAACTATCACTGTATCTACAACACCTCCCATAGAGTCTAGTCAAAATAGACTCGTAATATGTTTATGTTGAGTGAACGTCCAACTCATGTAGATGTTTTCCACTCTCATGCAGGCCTAAGGGGACCTCATTCTGTTAAATAGGTCACAAGTAGCAGAGTCACACCCACTCACAGGCACCGTTACTCTTGTCATTCATTTTTAGAAAAAAAACAAAAACAAATGTAAGGTTTTATTCCTTTACTACAAACCCACTATAAATGCGGCACCTTTGGTAGAAAACTGAGGCAAAGAACAGAGACCCTCAAAAAGACACAGCCACTTCCATAAGAGAGGACATACGGAGTTTGTGTTTGAATTATTTCATTCCGTTTATTTTACTTGGGATAGGATTGAAAGTCATGATGCGAGGCCGTAGCGCAGTCAGACCATCTGCTTTTCCAGTTCTGTGTTTGCACCGTCTGTGTATCCATAATCCCCCCAAAACCAAGAAGGCCAGTGAAAGTGGGGCCAGCACAATGCCCCAGGAGAATGTGGAAGAGGCTGTGGGAAGAACAGAGTCATGTCAGGGACTGAACAGTCTCTCACTGCACAAGAGGACAGGGCAATGCAGGTGTTCAGACAAGAAAGAAACTGGAGTTTGCTTTTCTTGTTGAACGTGCATGGATTTCCAGAAAGCACGCCCTCACACCAAGATGGAGGATATTTGAGAATGATGTCTGTGACTAGAGAAACAAGCGAGACAGGGCATCTGTTAGAAACCTCATAGGGTAAGTGGCCAAGTGCTGAGGGTTTAACTTTGTTCTGACAGTGGGATGCTGTGGGTTTAAGATGCTGTCTGTTTACATCTCAGTTGCCAACTGTGACAGAGCCAGGAACAATCTGCCCTTTTCCAATGAGCATGGGTGTCAGGAGGATCAAAGAAAGTAGCAAAGAAAAATAAATTTTGAATAATGGAGCTGTAGGGGCCAACATAATTGCCTGGGTCCAGTTATTTTATGTTCTGCTCCTTGGCATCTCTGTGTTATGGAAATACAGGAAGAGACGCTGAATAAGAAGTTAAAAAGCAAATGTGAGAACAGAATGTTATCAGACACATTGTTGATGAGGCCAGAAATCTGCATTTTGAAGCTATTATTCGCCACATTCTGTTTAGTCATCCAGGAATCAACACAAACTCAGCCTATTGCTCCAGAGGATTCTCACATCTTAAAATCCCGCAAAGATTAGAAGTCAGTTCAGCTGTAATTTTCTGGGCAGCTGTTTGAATCTACCTCTGAATCTTGTTGAAAGACTTTCAGCCTCTGCTCCCTAGATGAGTTGTGGCCAGCCACATGCAGGGTGCTCGTGTTATGGAAAATTTTAAAGGTTCCCAGCCTTTAAAATCAAGGCCAGACAAACCACAGGTGCCTTGGGCTCACTAATCTAACCCCTAGAGGGTGCATTCTGATTTTTGTGGGATCCTTCATTTCTAAATGCATACAACCACTGCCTCCCTCCCAGCCTGCTTGTCTGGAAATTTTCACATGTGTGCCCTAGTTCTCAAACTTCACTGTGAAAGGAGTCTGTTGAGTTCGCAGGCTTCAGCCTCTCCCTAGGAGGATCTGACAGGGTGGAGATCCGTGTTTGTAACCAGTGGCTCAGCTGAGTGTGAGGCTGCTGGTGCACAGAGCATAGTTGAAGGAAATGTGCTGGGTGCCATTCCCTGCCCTGAGGCTTTCCAGTTTACACTGTGTCTGTGGCTGCCTCCCCAGCAAAACATGGAGACGTGGAGCAGTTTGTATTTGTGTTATTGCTGTAAGATTGCCCAAGAAGCCATCACTGAGATTTCAGTTGGGAATCACTTTGGCTTGCCTGCCATTAGCTTTGGGCTGTCAACAGAGACTACATTTAAGGCACCTCTTCCTCCCGCTCAACAATTAAACATTGGCATGAAATCAAGTTAATCAAAAGTGATCATGTGGGTTTTCCTCTTCTTCTTTTTAAATGTCCTTAAATGAACACTGGGTTGATTTGACTGTGGCCTTCTACCTATTTCCTGGCATATAATGACTCTGACTGTAGAGCTGTCAAAGTCATCCAATCCTCAGCTCTTAGAGGTGAAGTTTCTCATCTTCAAAATAAAGAACAATGCACCCTCACCTAAAGGTCATGCAGAGACAGGTGAACAGTGACCCAAGGTGGAGCCACATGCAGACAGTGTATTTCGAAGTTTACTGTAGAACCATTTCATGTTTTCCAAAAGTCATCTTGCTATTTAAATTTTTCATTTGAACATAATGTCCCCAAGTCCAGCCTCCACCCTATCAAAAATCTTTAAAACATGGGAGTTTCTTTCCAGCTCTCCACTAGCAGGCAATGCAAGGGAATTTCTATGGAATCATGTGGAGAATGAGTAGCTTTGTCTAGTAGCCATGGAACATTCAACATGTTATATTCTCCGTTAGTGCTCCCCAAGATACATACATACCTTCTTTGACTGTGGTGCGTAGCGTCTGAAAACCCAGGGCATTACGGACAACACATTTAAAATCCATGTTCAAATCCTCTCTTGTAACCGGATCAAAAATCAATGACACTTCAATGTAGTTCTCATTATTTTCTGAATATTCCCTGAGTTACAAAACATTCACTTAAATATGATGTATCAAACACAAGCTTCTCTATTACAACATAGACACACAAACACTCCATTAGATGTACCCATTGTGTTTTTATTGTTGTAAAGTTTCATAAAGTTAGGAGCACTTGCCACCACACTTGTTATTCATTTGGGACAGTTTCTAAGCCTGTTCCTGAAGGCCTGAATGTCACTGAAGATGGTGGTCACTGGAATCAAACACTTGTTACACTACAGGGTTAGATAATGGGGAAGTTCATCTTTAAGTCCCTTAATGAACAAAGAATACCAGGCGTGGGAACAGAAACGTCTACTTTGAGGAAACTTGACTCTCTCACCATTAAATCACTTGCATATTGAAGGGCAGGGAGTTTCCAGGACTCCAGCCCTCAATGGTGCCTCCTCTTGTCATCTCTACTGCTGACTCTCACTCTGGAAACCTGCAGACAGTCCAGGGGAATGGCTCTGGCCAGGATGGCTGCCATTTATAGTGTTAGAGGAATTTGTAGACACCTTACTACTATCTATTAGTATGAATAAAAGCATGGATGAGTGGATCCACTAGGAATATTTTTGTTTTATTTGTAGGGAGAACACAGGTTCCTTTAAGTAAATGGGTCGTATGAGTAAGCTGAGATGGGCATTTAGTTGTGGCCAAGTCTTTCACAACAAGAACTTGCAAGCACATGATTGTGCTAACCACACATAGTTTTTATCCACTAAATTACATCCAGAAACATCTTTTGTGATAAGTCTTTCAAAAAAACACAACCATTTGGCAAGCAAAAGCTCAGGCTAATTCAAAGTATCAAAACTGTAATTTTCAAAATACTTTACAGTTTGGAATGTTGGATGGTCTCCCTCATAGGCAAAGCGTTCCCATTTACAAAGTCTGATTGTTCTAGTCTCAGAGTGAGAAAAGATTTTCTAGAGATCACTGCTTATGAGAACTGAATTCTTTCTTTCTTCTATTATTGGCCTTGCTTAGAGAGTGTGGCAGCCCACAGTTCCCTGAGAAATAGAAGAGGCACTATAGATACTGTGGCTAGGTCTCAGGGTACTTTTAAGGGTTTATGAAAATGTTTGACAGTCAGGTTGCAGAGTGGTAAATGGAAAGATATTAACTCCAAAATAGTTTTAACTTGCAAAAATCAAAGGGTCAATGTTTAATTAAACAGCTACAAAATGCAATATCATACCAACATGTTAACTGCAATTCAACTTTTAAGTACTTACAGAGAAAGTCTGGTTCTCAAGACAATTTTTAGCAAAACTCCATTTTTTAAATTCTGAACATCCAACAGTTTGGAATCAAAAAAGTTACTTTTAATGTGGTATGTGGGTTATAGTGATAACTGTCTCCAAAAGGAAGCACAAAACCCACAGAGGTCTCACAACAGACGACCCCGGCCCACTTACTGGCGCGGCCCCTCGGTCACGCGGCCTCCCTGGTAGGCGCTTTCTATGTGGGTGTCATTGGCCGTCCACCACAGCATGGTGGTTGAGGGCGTGCCGGTTCCCAGAAACACCTTACACGGGATTGTCAGTCTTGACCCTATGGACAGCAAAGCACAGCACATCAACCACAGAACCAGCCCCTCCCTCCCATCAGCAAACCCGAGCCCTGAGTCCCTTCTCAGCTTCTCAAACACCTCTCACCAGCCAATTCTTTCCTTAGAAGAAAATATAGTTTTCTCAAACGATTCTGTTCACATAGACCTTTACTATTTACGAAGTGCCTCCAGTTCCTACAACTGGTCTTCACGGCAGGTGAAAACCAAGAGACACCTGAAGTTCAACGGCTTCACCAAGGACCCTGAGCTCCCAGGGGACATTCTGAATTCAAGTCGTGGCCACTCACTTCAATTACCTCAGAAAATCCAGATCACGTGTGGATTCTGTCTCTTTCCCTGAGGCTGGTCTTGGCCCTAATGATTCTTCTGGAAACTGTCCATTCCAGATGGCTCTGACTGAGGATCAACACTTCTTAAAAACTCTGTATTTTCTGCAGACAGTATGCTCTGCAGTTGTGCACTGTGATGGTACTGGGTCCCCCTGCCTCAATCATAGGAAATTATTTTTCTTTTTCATTCACCAAAGAAGAGTAGAAGGAAAAGAAGAAATTCTTCTCACTCGTTTTTTCCTCGTGGGTGATATGCCTCCCTGTGGTATGTCTTTTAATGCATCTGGCTCCACCATGGGTTCAGAATGCCATCCCTCCTCCATCCTGTGCCATTCCCATGACCTTAAAGATCTTCCTCAGCCATAGCGACCCATTAATCGGTGTCATGTGGCCCCATCACCCACTCCAGTGCATTCAAAGCAACTGATTGGGAACTGGGTGTGGAACTTGGCTGAGAAGGGAACCAGAACGTGGGGGCTCCAGCAGGCATCGCCCAGTGTGCCTGCTGCCCCAGGTGGTTGTTCCCAGAGCTCCAGCTATGGGGCTGCACTGTAGCAGTGGCAACTCAAGTGCCAGCCAGCAGTCCCAGCAACTGCACAAACGCCCTCCTCCTCTATGGCCTCCAATTCAAATTGAAAATTTAAACCAACACTAAACAAAAGGAAAAAGCAAATAGATTGTTTTTAAAAAGACTCTGCAGCCAGGGTTTCATAAATGAGTATCAGACCTACAGAAACTTTACCCAGAAGCAAACACATAAAAGGGTGCAGGCTTTACAGGCATACAGACCCGAATCTGAACTCCAGCCTGACTCTGAGGGTGGCCTTCTGGCCTCCACTGAGCCATCATGATGCCCTGGGTGGCTTTTTCCCTATGAAAAATGTAAGAAATAAAAACTTCTACAGGGTCTACGTTGAGATTGAATGAGACCCCATTGGACGCAGTAGATGCTCAATAAACATCAATTCCTTCCCACCACTAGCATCAGAAGGCTGTTAGTACAGCACACTTACGTACCCTCACTGGCCACTAGTGTGGACCTGTGCTGGCCAGGATGCACTGCACCACATAGCGTGAAAAGCAGAAAGCACTGCTGGTCATTTTCATAGCACCATTCAACCAGCTTACCAGCTCTTCTGACAACAAGAAACTGATCACTGCTGAGCCCGCTTTACAAATGGAGTCTTAGAGAGATGCAGAGCACCAGCCAGGTTCTGGTGATATGAATTATTTTAAATGTACTGAGGGTGCTGGCTATGCCTGGGGTTCATGCTGTTTATCTTCTCATGCAGTTAATAACTGCTGCCAGAATGTTCAGATTTTCATATTCGGATTTTTGCAGGTAGGTTCTGCATGAAGCAAAGTATACCAGTTTTCAGATTATGCCGTTTCTAATCCAACTGGCCAAAGGGAAATATTCCCTCACATTTGTTATTCCAGCCTCACACACTGGAGTGCTAAGGTCTCCACCCAAGCACTGCACTAAGGGGCAGGTACGGTCATCAGACACAAGGGTCCAAAACCCCCTGCACTGGGATACCAGGCACCCCCACAGGTGCATGAATTGCATGGTCCTTGCTGGCCTTACCCAGAGAAGCCGATATGGTCCTGAGGGGGGAAATAATCACAGGAATGGTCTCCTCTTGTTTTTCTGAGAAAGATGTAAGGAAACGAAATTCCGTTAAGAAAGCCTTCATTTGAAGCTGTGGTTAAGCCCCATTGTTTGGCTAATTAACTGGGTTATCCTTTCCAGTATGGTCAGTCATTATGAGAGTCAGCCTTTGTCTGGCAAAGGAAACAGGCTCTCTACAAAATCGAGCATCCTCAGCCAATGCCTTTCCCAGCAGAGAGATTACTGGAAGAGGCCACAGCTAAACACACATTCCACTGACAGAAGGTCTTTCTCCTTGCTCTGTGATAAACAATTAACCATTCCCCTCCCAGACTTCCTGAACACAATCTTAAGAGTCATATTTATGAGATCCACGAGATAGATTTTCCCCGAAACTCAATCAGTCCTAAAATATTTTCTCCACCTCTCCAAAGTGCCTGCCACAAAATACTGAAGATTCACTTCTTCTAGAAAAGGCACAGGGCTCGATAACAGCCTGTTTGGAAGGCTAGTGTGTAACCTGGCCTCAGCCACGGAGGTCTTGTTAATTGAAGAAACTCTTCGGAGAGGCAGAAGTGGATCTCCAAAGGATTAGAGCCAACTGTAAAGAAAAGAGGCACCTGAAATGAGCAAAAAGGACACCTGGGGGGTGAGGGCTGTGAGTTGTCTCCATGACCCGCCTCATCATCCTCATTTCCACTAAACAGCATTTTGAAATCCTGACATGGGTACACATTAAACAGTATTGCAGGACAGCCGGAGGGGCAAACAGCTTATCCACCAAAGCCAGACGCTTTTTCCTCCCCTCCCAGTCACGTGCGGCCCTATGGAGCTGGGGCATCCAGGGATAGAAAGAAGCTCCCAGGACCTCAGTGGTTCTTAGACTTAAGGGTCCCCAGCACCACCTGGGGGCTTGTGAGACACAAATGGCAGCCCCCAGCCCCAGTTTCAATCAGTGGGTCTGCACAGGACCCGAGATTTGCATGTCTGTTGAGTACCCAGGTGATGCAGCGCGGCTGGCCCAGGGCCACCTCTTGAGAGCCACTGAGATCCTGGGAGGATCACAACACAGGAAGGCATGTAGGGCGGCTGCCCCCTAGTGTTCCTGCGCAGTATCGCAGCGACAGGACAGTGCCGGTCCACCGAAAGGCTCACACAGCAAGGAGCTGGTATGAACGAATCCTCACAGGACTGTACAACAAACACAATCAGGACACTTCCGTCCATGAAAGAATGCGGTGAAACTGAATCTCTGCATTCTCTGTGACAAAAATATTTGTTTTGCCCTCATAGACCGATTTTTAAACTTAGTGCGTCTCCAAAGCTCTGAAATCCTCTTAAAAGATCCTAGTTGTGTTCGTTATTCACTATGAAAAGAAAGTGGCCCGCTCTCCAAGGCAAAGTCCAGGATTTACACGTGGCTACACCTGGCTCCATGTCCGGCACCACACAGTGGGGATGGAGTAAATGTTGAACAAATGTGAAGCACTGGCCAGTGCTGTTCACAACACCATTTCAAACGTAATTCATTTTAGTCAATGGCAGCTCTATTTGAAATATTGCTGTTAAGGGCAGCTAGATCCACCTTAGCGAAAACAAATAAAAAGTGATTTCCACTGGACATGCAAGGCATAGACTTCTGGTTAGAATACCCAATAAAAATCTTAGTATCCTAGAATTATACATAAAGTTATGGTATATGGGGAACTCTAGCCCTGTAGGTGCAAAGCTTCCGCAGGAGACTTTCCAAGGGGACCTTCCAAGGAAGCCAGCATTTGGCCCTCTCGCGTGGTGTGTTTTAGCCTTCATCTTGACCCTATAACCTGCCCAATTCATTCACCTTTCCTCCAAATAACACCCTGATTGATACCTTTCAAAGTATTACACGTCTTATTAACCTGACGCTTCAGGAGAGTTGATGGATCCGTTTTCCCTTATCCTTTATTCCAAAGACCTGCAAGGAATTCTACATGCACCCTCATTTGTTCTCCGCATGCTTGTCACTGAACCGGGACAGATCAGTGCCTCAATGGCAAGTACTTACTCTTGATGCGTAGCTCGATACTCCTACTGATGTTGTATTGTTGGCCTTTGTGGGCAAATGTCAGGACACAGCGGTAATAGCCCGCATCTTCCAGGGCCACGTCGTGCACAAGTAAGTGAGTGGTCCCCCTCACACTTAGAAATTTCTCATTGTCTTCATCCAAAAGAAGAGAATCCTTAAGGGAAAACGTATTTTTAAGTTTACATTATACCAATATACATCTCAACGGCGACGAATTGCAAATCATTATCAACCAGTGCTGGATTTGCAATCCAAGAATTGCCCTGGTATTTACTTCACCCGTTTTGTACCTTAGGCATACTTTCAACTGTACTTTTGGGGAGGGAATTTGTTAACATATAAAACCAATAAAAGTGCTAGATTTGCTTAACTTCAATAGTTAGAGCATATTTGTCTAGGCCCTATGGGAAATAAAAGAGACTAACTCTTCTTTAACAAAGTAAGCCATCTAAAATACAAATGTATTTATGTCCTGACTGCTACCTTCAGGCCTCAGGAAGTATCTGGGAAGAGCACTATTAAATAGTCAGCATGAGTTGGACAACAATGCTCAGAAGAGATGACGTTGCAGTAATTAAAAAGCTTTTTGATTTTGTGAGTCAGTAAGAGAAAAATTTCTAAGAAAAACTAAATAGGGGAAATGAGTCCACACTTTTTATATGGACAGAAGGTTCTCTGGGGTCTCTGCAGAATACAATCCTCAAGAGTAAGGCCTCCAGGAAATAGAAAGAGCTGAATGGGGTGTCTAAAAACACCCTAATGAGCACACAATGTTCTCAGAGACATTGCTTTCAAAATCATGATTATTCAAAGTTTGCAGTAGTCAAATGTAACCTTGAGTCACTTCAGAGACTTACTCTGAATGAGAACACAAATAAAATTGAAATTGCCACATGGCTCATGATACCACTTTAGAACATATTTAATTAAAAGGAGAGATTTCATTGGTCTAAGCATAAGTAGTCAAATATGAAAAATGCCAAATAGGGCCCAGCACACAGTCATTCCAGTGGTATATGGGAATTGGCTTCCTGGGTTAGTTTTTACTTCACCATCTACTGGCTGTGTGACCTTGGGAACATTCCTTATGGGTCCTTATCTGTTAAAAAAACAAGTTGGGGGGAGAGATTTACAGTTCCTGCTTCATTGGATTGTAAGGGAGTTCAGAACAGGCTTGGATATAGTACATGCTCAGTAATATGCAGCATTATTTTGAAAGGAATAGATATTGCTAAGCACCACCACGACATCTTTGGCCTTGCACATTTATTGCGCACCATTTATATGTCAAGCACTACACCGGGTGCTTCCTACACATCATTCCATTTAGTCCTTGAAACAATCCCACGTGGGGGGAGGTACCAATTGCCACTTTATAGAGGAAACAGGTTCGAAAGGTAGAGTCACTTGGCCAAGGCTACACAACAGGTCAGAAAAGGAATAGAGTTTCAAACCTGGTCCCACTGATGCCAGAGCCTGTGCTCTTTCCTCTCCAAGCAAAACCTTTGATTTGACCTCTTTATGCTTTTTCCAAACCAAAAGAGAATGCATTCTAGGCTGGGCTTGGTGGCTCATGCCTGTAATCCCAGCACTTTGGGAAGCTGAGATGGGAGGATCACTTGAACTCAGGAGTTCAAGACCAGCCTGGCCAACATGGTAAGACCACATCTCCATTTAAAAAGAAAGAGAAAGAGAGAGAGAGAGAGAAAGAGAGAGAGCATTCTAGGGTTCAGCCAGTTTATTTTTAGGAGCTACTTTCCTCTACTTTCAGGAAATGATTTCAAAGTTTCCAATATTAAATCAATATCCTATATAGAGATCCCATAGTTACAATACCAGCCAACTACTTAACCTGTTAACCTATTGCTGATCAAAGGGTTGATTCCCATCAATGATTAAGCCAATAACTGTACTTTTCCGTATCATCTACGGTCTTTAACAGGAGTTGACCAGCATTTTCAGGAAAGGGCCAGAAATGAAGTATTTTGAGCCCTGGAGTCTGCAGGGCCTCCATCACAGCTAAGGAGTGCAAAAGCAGCTACAGACAGTACCTAGACAGAAGACGTGGCAGTGTATACGGACACTTAATTTACAGGCCCTGAAATTTTAGTTTTACGTGGTTTTCACATCATAAAATATTCTTCTTTTACTTTTTTCAAACATTTAAAAAAGTGACAACTATCCTTGGCTTGTGAGCCATTCAAATCCAGAAGACGACTTGATTCTAGGGCCCAGCCATAGTTTTCTAGCCCCTGGTCTACCTAAGCAATATCTGATGTTCTCACTAGGAGCAACAAACACATCAAATAACATCCATTCAACCAGAAAAGGGAACAAATTGTGTTGATATTTACTCCCTTAACCCAAAGGTTTGTTGTCATATGTTTTTGTTGTTGTTGAGATGGAGTCTCGCTCTGTCACCAAGGCTGAAGTGTAATGGCGCGATCTTGGCTCACTGCAACCTCCACCTCCTGGGCTCAAGTGATTCTCCTGCCTCAGCCTCTGAAGTCACTGGGATTACTGGTGCCCACCACCACACCCGGCTAATGTTTGTATTTTCAGTAGAGACGGGGTTTTGAGATGTTGGCCGAGGAGGTCTCAAACTCCTGACCTCAGGTGTTCCACCTGCCTCAGCCTCCCACATTGCTGGGATTACAGGTGTGAGCCACTGAGCCTGGTCATCATGTGCTTTTTAAACAACTCCTTTAATATGTCTATAAAATTGTTACATAAACTTTTTTCTACATTTGTATAGACAAATAAAATAAAAAATTATTTCCTCCAGCTATTATGTACTCTGTCTTCACAAATCACTATTTCAAGCACCTTTACCCAAGCCACATAGGACTAATAAAACATATTAATTATGGCTCTTTAAAATTCTTTAAAATACAGTCATCCCTCAGTATCTGGGGGATTGGCTTCAGGAAACATCCCCCACAGGTACCAAAACACAGATGCTTAAGGCGTTTATATAAAATGGTGTTGTCTTTGCATATAACCTACGGACATCCTCCCAAATATTTAAAATCATCTCAGGATTATTTGTAGATTACTAATACAGTGTAAATGGCATATATAAATACAGTCCTGTGTCACTTAACAATGGGGCTAATTCTGAGAAACAGGTTAAGCGATTTCTCCATTTTGTGAATGTCCTGGAGTGTACTTGCACAGACCTAGATGGCAGAACCTGTAATCCCAGCAATGTGACATGGTACAGCCTGTGGCTCCTAGGCGACAACTGTACAGCATGTTGCTGTCCTGAATACTGCAGGCAATTGGAACACAGTGCTCAGTTTTTGTATATACGAACACACCTAAACATAGAAAAGGTAATGTTTTGCACTACGATGCGAAGACAGCTAGGCAATAGGAATTTTTCAGCTCAATTACATCTTACGGGACCACTATTGTACACACAGTCCATTGTTGACGGAAACATTGTTATGCAGCATGAGACTGTAGTTGTTACACTGTATTGGGTTTTTTATTTGTATTATTTTTATTGTATTGTTATTTTGCTTGTTATTTGTTTATATTTTCAATCCGAGGTTGGTCAAATCCTGAGATGTGGAACTCACAAATACGAATGGCAAACCGTGTGTGTGTGTGTGTGTGTGTGTGTGTGTGTGGCGGGGGGTGTGTGTGTGTGGGTGTGGGTGCGCATGCACTGTCTTCAGAAAATCAATATTTTACATCTTTCCTTTATGGCTAGTAAAAAAAAAGAAAACACATTTTAATAAAATGTCACTTTTTAAAGCCATACCTTGTACCACTGAATCTTCACGTCAGTTTTGTTACGGATGAATTCACTCAGGTCAGGGCACACTAATACCCCAGAGGTTGACAATGTTAAAATTTGCGGGTATGAGATGAAAGGCAGGGAAGCATCCGTATTCTCAAAAACCCTGAGCTCAATGGACATTTCGTCACAGTAAGAGGCATTTCTGATTTAAAAGGGGGAAAAAAAAAGCAAAGATGAATGGCAAGCCAAAATAAAAGTAAAGCTAAATGAAATTAAGAATCATTTCTTCAACTCTATTAAAATCTGCTTCTGCATTTTCTGGATAAGTACAGATGATTTCCCGACATAAGACGGTTCAACTTAGGATTTTTTGACTTTACAATGCTGCAAACACAATAAGCATTCAGTAGAAACCCTACTTCAGTGAAGTATTCAATAAATTACCTGAGATATTCAACATTTTATTTCAAAAAAGGCTTTGTATTAGATGACTTTGCCCAGCCATAGGCTAATGTAAGCATTCTCAGCCCATTCAAGGAAGGCTAGGCGAAGCGATGATGTTTGGTAGGTGAAGTGTATCAAGCACATTTCTCACAACAGTATTTCCAACTTACAATGGGTTTATTGGTATTTACCCCATTGTGAGTCAGGGAGCATCTATATTGCAATACTTCTGTCCCTGATCTTGTTGAACCCTTGTGAGATAAAAAGTATCATAACACAATTATACAGAAAAGGCGTGTTCCACATGTTTCACAAAGGACTGTCTACAAGCTCATTTCTAATGCCACCAAAGTTCATCGAGAAATCCCCAAGTCCTCTTCAAAAGGGCTTAAGGCTTCCAGGTTCTGGAGCTCCTTGAGCCCAGCCCCCACATACTCCAACTTCATGATCCAGGAAACCACATCCACATGGAGAGATTGCTTCCCAAGAGCCACTGTTTCCATGAAAAGGAATATTCCCTTTGTTCCTTTGGGGAATTATCAACCGAAGTCTAATTTTAGAAAACTGCTGGAAATTTAGTGTAAGACCCATAAAAGATTTTTGCAATACTGCGTGGGAAATTAACTTGGTAAGTTTATTATTATTAATATTATTATTATTTTACCAGCCTAACCATTATTTCAATGCCATAATTATATCAAGACATTAGAGCTGGAAAAAGGGGAGAGGCAAAACCTTGCTGAAAATTTGGCGGAAATGGATGGAGGAGAGAAGACAGTAATTAAAACTACTTTTTTAAGAAGAAAAATATAAAAATTTAATTATCTCAGCTAAATTTCTGGCTACCTAAGACATCTGAGACTTTGACAGAGGCAATGAGGATGTGTTTACATATAGGAATAAAAATTACCTGCACAGTAAAATCCAAACCATCCATATCCAAAAAAGTAACAAAATGTTTTTTAAAAAAAAGTGAAAGAAAAGTAATAAAAGCTTATCACTCCAAAGTAAAAAGAACTAATTTAAATATATGAGGCCAAAATCTATATTATGTTTAGCTTAAAAAATGAGAAGAGATGAACAAATATTATATTTTATGCATAAAGAAATGCAAGATGTTAACTCTCACCTTGAAAAATGCATAATCTCACTGCAAGTTGAATAAAGGCAAATACGGACAAATCTAAAGACCAGGGACTACTTGAGTGACAGTCACACAGCAGGGAGCCAGCAGGGAGCAGATGCAGGCCAGGCCCTGTGCTGTGTACTTTGCACACATTATTTCACTTATAGTCCAACCCCATGAAGTAGGGATTACTATCATATCATTTCTATGTGAAAAAACATTAGGTGTACAGAAATTAAGTGGGCTGTACAGCTACAAAGAGGTCAAACCAAAATGGGAAGCCCAGCAAGGCTCTGGGAAAACCCATAAATCAGGACACTATCTTTAGAAACAAGCTTAGTAGACATATTGAAAGCTACAAGGCTGTTCACATTATTGATCTGGTAATTCCCCTTGAGCAAGAAACCTCATGAAAATAACTCAAAGGAAGAGAAGAGTGTTGAGGGGTAATTTGATCACCACTTGCATTCCTCATGTAGTGTGACACACCCATGGCAAACACATGATAGTCGTTAGTAGTACTGCTCATTAAATAGGCCCAGTTCTTCCCATTCTGAGCACATGGTGTATCACATGTGCTCATCCTCACTGTGGGTGGGTGTAGTTATATGACTCTTCCTAGCTCATGAGTTGTATGTGTGGCCCTTCTACATGAAAGCTGTAACAGCCACGAGAGAACCTCCAAAGCATGCTTCCTTCTGCTCTAGCAACCAATCAATAACATTTTTAGTGACCATGACTGCTACTTCAGCCTGAGTCCCTGAGTGTCTGCAAACCCACAATGGACCTGTTGCATGTGTAAGAAAGAGGTCTTTGTTATTTTAAGGCACTGAGCTTTGGGAGCTGTTTGTTACAGCAGCATAACCTTAACAGCCTACTCTTTTTCTTTTTCTTTTCTTTCTTTCTCTCTCTCTTTCTCTCTCTTTCTTTTTCTTTCTTCTTTCCTTCTTTCTTTTGTTCTTTTGTTCTTTCTTTCTTTCTCTTTCTTTCTTTTTTCAGTGGTAGAAAGTAAGGCGTTTATTTGCAGGGTGCCAAGCAAGGAGACCCAGGCAGCTACTGCTCAAATCCTGACCTCTCTGATGGCTTGCATCCTTGCCTACTCTGACTCACCATGTGGGTTCTAGATCACAAAATTTTAAACAGTCACAGGAACAGGGCAGTCTCCTGCCTCATGACAATCATTACTAAAGAGTATTATGGCAAATGCTGGTGATTCTTACTCTCTTATAACCCCACTCTTACAGTTGTCAGAGTATTAGAGGTCAGCCAGGTAAACCATCCCATCAGGAAAAGAAAGTTTGACACACACTGGGATTTCCACTGCCCCTATATCTCAGCTTTTTTTTTCCTACAAAAATTGAGCATAAAAACAAACTTTAAGACAAACAGGACTCAGCTCACATCTCCCTGATTTTTGCACAGTCTCACTTCAGTAGTCATGTAGACTGCCTTTTGGGAAGGAGAGGAAATTTTTTATGTATGTGTTGACCACCTACCATAGCACACCCCAAGCTAGCTCCTTCACATGGTGTGATCTCACATAACCCAGTCAACAAACTTCCTTACAGGGGAGAAAACTAACACCCATAAAAGTCAAATGATAAGCCCAAGGTCTCAACAGATAGGAAGTGAGAGAGCTAAATTCCCATCTGTCTTTTCGACTCCGAGTTCCATATTTTCTTACTACGCTGTGAAGTTTTCCTAGTAGTGCTCCTTAGAGAAAATGAGAACTTTTACCATAAAGAAGAAAGAAGAAACATGCATTTATAGCTATTGTAAAATCAGACATCCACACTTTCCTGGCATAAGAATGGGAGATAGTTTGCCTGCTTCTTAGGCAAGCTTCACTGACAGGATTGAAACTGTCCCTGAATTGCTTGTAGTTGGGGCTAGGCATATGGATGGTAGTGTCAAGCTGGGTTTGATTTGAAAAGATTCTCAATTTCACACATGCACACATGCACACGCACACACATATGCATGCATGCACACACACACACACACACACAGAGGGCACCCTCCACCTTGTATCTCCTCCCACCCCCTGCACCCCCTGACATACATACACCCAGCTTAGGACTGGGGCTGCTGTGGTCTAAAATTTTTCCATTCACCAGTAATTCCTTTGTGCTAAAAATATAATTTATCTGTTCTTTTCTAAATATACATATTCCTGGGTACCATTCTTCTTAAATCAAATGATTTTATGAAATCTGGAGACTCTGAAGCCAGCTGGTAGAAGGAGTAAGCAGAGACTTTGGAGGAACAGAAGCAGCAGCTGAGAAGTGAGGCCAAAAACACTAGCTCCTTATCAAGCCAAGGGTTGTCCCCAAGCCTTTCAGAAGAACTAAGGCAAGAAACTGTTTAAGATCACCAACACTAATCCTAAACCTTCATCCATCAAGAAGGAGTAGGACACGTCAAGACCATTCAATGGGGAAAAGACAGTCTTTACAGCAAATACTACTGGAGAGACTGGATATCCCCAGGCAAACGAATGAAGCTGGACCCTTACCTAACACCATATACAAAAATTAACTCAAAATGGATCAAAAAACAAAACATAAGAGCTAAAACTATAAAATTTTTAGAGGAAAAAAAAGGAGAAAATCTTCATGACATTGGATTGGGCAATGGTTTCTTCACACCAAAAGCACAGGCAATAAAAGAAAAAAATAAACTGGATTTGATCAAAATTAAAACCGTTTATGTAACAAATTACACTAAGAAAAGAGTGAATATGCAACCTAGAGAATGGGAGAAAATATTTCTAAATCATAGGTCTGATAAGGCAAGAGGTTAATAACCAGGGAATGTAAAGAACTCCTACAACTCAACAACAACAGCAAAATCCAGTTTTTAAAGTGCGCAAGGACGTGCGTAGACGTTTCTCCAGAGAAGATGCACAGATGGTTAATAAGTACATAAAAAGATGCTCAGCATCCCTAATCATTAGGAAGATGGGAATCAAAGCCACAATGAGACACCCCTTCACACTCTTCAGAAGGGCTATTATCAAAAATGCTAGCAAATAACATGTGTGGTGAGGATGTAGAGAAATTGAATTTTGGCACTATTGGTGGGAATGTAAAATGGCACAGCCACTATGGAAAACTGTAGTAGTTCCTCAAAACGAAATGAAAACTTAGCAGATGATCCAGTAGTTCCTCTTTGGGGAAGCACTGAAAGCAGAGACTCAAACAGATATCTGCATTTCCATGTTCATATTGGATTTACAATAGCTGAAAAGAGGAAGCAATCCAAGTGTCCCTGGATGGCTAAATGGACAAACAAAATGTGGTACAGACATAGAGCAGAGTAATAATATTTCACCTCAAAAGGAAGGAAACTCTGCCACATGCTACAACATGAACGAACCTTGAAAACATTATGCTAGTGAAATAATTCAGTCACAGAGACAGATCGCCCTTAAATGAGGTACCTAGAGTAGTCAAAATCGTAGAGTCAGAAAGTAGAATGGTGGTTGCCAGAGGCTGGAGGGACAGGAAGCGGGGAGTTATTGGGTTCGGAGTTTCAGTTTGGCAGGATGAAAAAGTCCTCAAAATGGATAGTGGTGATGGTTCCACTGATCTGTACACTAAAAAATGTTTAAGATGATAAATTTTGTGTTATATGTATTTTTCTACAGTTAAAGGGAAACAAAGCAACAGGTCAGAGAGGGAGGAGGACTGGACCCAGGATCAAGAGACTCGGGTTCCAGTGTCAGCTCTACCACCCAGCACCTGGAGAACTTTCTAAGCCAGCGTTGTTCCCTCATCCTTACAAGGAGCACTCTGACTTAATTTAATCGTAAGGCCTGGAGCAGCTCTAAAATCCTATTCAGAGTAAAATCTTATTCTGTCTATTTCTCAGTTCCTTACCATGTGGCGTCAGCAGTGAATGGCATAGACCAAGTTCCTGCCCTCGCAGAGTTTACATTCTAAAGGGGTAGACAAACATTAAATCTGGTAACACACACAGATGTGTGCGATGGGAAAATGCTATCGAGGAAACTGCAGCAGGGTAAGGAGAGTGACAGAGGGCTGTGTCAGCTAAAATGGCTAGGGATGTTATATCAAAAGAGGTGGCATTTGAGCAAAGAGTAAATGGAGAGAGAATGAAACTGTAGGATGGGGGCTAAGTCAGAAACAGCAAGGGGGACGAAATGTGGATTCACTGGATTTGTATTTTGTACATTGGATTCTGAGATCCAGATCATGACTGAAGAACCTCAAAAGCTCCATTCTGCCGGGATCGCCTCCCCAGCCCTGCGCGGAGGGGCTTACCTAGTAGTGCAGATGTAGGTGCCAGAGTCTCCCTGCAAGGCTGGCAGAACCCATAGAGCACCGTACTGGGCCCACATCCGTGTCTCTTCTCCTGGGACGGTCCTAGCAGAGTCATTTTTATGCCATGTCAGGTTAACGTGGGGGCTGACAGAGGCCCATAGCCAGTAGGGCACCTGGGGGCACCTCAGGGCCACAGGCTCCCCTTCCAGCCTGAACTCCCGCTTGTAATGTCTCCCGCGAAACCGGCAGCTTCTGGCAGTCCCTGAAGACAGAGAGCCCACGGTCAGGCTTCGGGTCCAAAACCTGCGCAGATCGTAAAACCTCCCTGGACCTGGGACCGAGCCTGATTGTGGCAGGGAGACCTGGAGCACATTCAAGGAAAATGTCATTTGTTCCTCGAAAAATGACCTACACCCTGGGGTATTACTAAACACCTTTCCTACTCCGTTATTATACTTTTAAAATTTCCAAGTAACAAGTTCAGTGCTACTATCCATTTCAACTTCCGTTTTGGGAAGAAAGCTAAATCAGGTTTCTATGGTGACAAAAAATTAAAGATGAAAAACTATGTCCATATTTTTCATTTGTTGACCCCTCATTATTAACGTTAGATCTGGACTGAGTTCATACAGTAAAAGCTTAGTTCTGGCATGTTGTGTGGTTAAACTCCAAAAGCAACTTTGTTAAGGGCAAACATCCCTTCTTCAGTCAGCTCCTTGACAAGCACATTCGCACTGTGCTTTTTTTTTCTTTTCTTTCCTTTTTTGCTTTTGTGAGGTAGGGCCTCACTCTGTTGCCCTGCTGGAGTAGAGCGATGCAATCTCCACTCACTGCAGCCTCAACCTTCTGGCCTCAAGCACTCCTCTCACCTCAGTCTCCCAAGTAGCTGGGACTACAGGCGTGCACCACCAAGCCCAACTAATTTTTTTTTTTTTTTTTTGAGACATGAGTCTTGCTATGTTGCCCAGGCTGGTCTCGAAGTCCCAGGCACAAGGGTTCCACCCATCTAGGGCTCTCAAGTGCTAAGATTACAGGACAGGAGCCACCGAGCTCGGCTGGCAGTTTGCTTTCTGACAACAAAACCTCACTAGATAACAGCTTTCCCCAGCGAAGCTGCAGGTGAGCCCTTTTGCATCTGAAGTGTTTACTTCTTACCTGTGTGTGCCGCAGGCTGAAGGGTGAAGGCAGAAACTCCCATTACCAACACGTACAAGCGGAACATTGCTCCTGACAACTTCCAGAGGACACAGGAAGAGGAGGATGAGGTCTGGCACCACGTGGTCTAGGGAAGGAGACAGAAGTGTCACCAGGAACTGAGAATCCCTTGAAGATGGGGCAGGAGCAGGGTCTGCGGGCTTCACTAGGTGATGGGAACCTTTTTGCCTACACTATTTAAGAAGAAAACTCAGAATTTTTGGATTTGCTTCTCTGCAGCTACACTCACTGAATACATCTAAAGTTGAATCCCTGTAGTACCTACAGGCATGCTTGGCAGAGAGGCTCCATCCCCTAAGCTTCGGTCTCTGCAGAGGCCTGCCTTCGCCATTCCTGCCCCTTGGCCAGAGATGCTGTCTCCTCAGCTAAGGCCACTGCTAGTGCCCTCTCTGCTCAGACTTCACTTTCTTGGTGAGGTCTCCCTCACCTCCCTGTCTAAAATTGCACCACCTTTTTTTTATTTTTATTTTTATTTTTGAGACAGAGTTTCGCTCTTGTTACCCAGGCTGGAGTGCAATGGCGCGATCTCAGCTCACCGCAACCTCTGCCTTCTGGGTTCAGGCAATTCTCCTGCCTCAGCCTCCTGAATTGCACCACCTTTAATCCTGGCACTCCGTGTTTTCCTCCCCTTCCCTGTCGTTCTCTGTGCCATTCATCATCATCCCTCTCTCCCCTCTCCAGAACTCAGGCTCCACGGATGGAAGGGCTGAGAAAGGAAAACAAAAACTTGGGACCCCCAGTTCACTCTGCCGAAAAGAAAAAATTAAGCTGAAAACTGAGTCCTGCAAGATGCTGCCTTTCCTCTTCCTCCTAAGCAGAGAGCTCCTGATAAAAGCTTTTTAAAATTCTCCACAGGTAGCTACTCTATGTTCACACTATCTTATGTAAAGAGCAGATTTACACAGCACGAGAGGAATATAATTGACTATTCCCCTACCTGTTCCTTTTCCCTTGCAACATGTGGATTCAGTAATGACCACACCCTCCCTGTCTCCCCTCCAGCCTGCTTTTCAATAGGGGAAAACCTTTACATATTAAGGCTTCAAATCATCTTTGGAGAAAGGTTGGGACCACAGACTGTCTTTTCTGCGCTTCTGTGTTTTTTCTCCTGGGCATTTTCCTTAACTTTGGCAAAATAAGCTAAATTGTTGAGACTGTCGGATACTTTTTGGTAGATGGAACCCTGCTTTGTTTTATTCACAGTTCTAGCCCTAGCTCCTATTTTTTAATGAATAAATGAATGAATTAGCAAATGGATCAAAGCCCAAGGATCCTCATATTTACACTTGGCAGAGAACTTTTCCTGTGTCCTATATGGATTAACTCCTATTTTGCATTCAATTCTGATGCGCTGAGGGATTCTGTGTGTCCTGCTGACACCCTGGCTTACAGCCTCCCAGGGAAAAAAATGCAACATGAAATCCAAAACAGAAATAGCTTATACAAGTTAATGAAGCACTCCTCCCCTGGCACCCCCAGAGACTGGAGTGTCAGATGCCCTCTTTGTCTTTCTGATGACCTTTTCACACTCTATCACAAGTGTCCCCTGTGTCTGCTAACCACGGCCACAATGATGCTTAACAAACCAACGGCCCCAGAACAGAATGGTGTGAAACAACAGTCATTCACTCTTGCTCAGAAGTCTGTGGGCGAGATGGGATTTGGTTAACCTAAACTAGGCTGGGTTAGACCCTGCTCTGAGGTGCAGATGGGATCCAAGTCTGTTCCACAGGTGTCTCATCCTCCTTGGAGCAGTAAGTTTCCTGGGAGATGATCCTCTTTGGGGATGGCAAAAATGGAAACAATGCAGGCAAAAGCACACACCAGGCCATGTTGGGAACCAGCTCCTTCCTGTCTGCCCACATTCCATCTGCCATAGCAAGTCAATGCCCCAGCCGGCCACCGGAGGCGCGGGAAGTGGGAGCAGTCATGCCGGCTGCCACACCTGACTCTTCTGGCTCCACAAGGATGGTGACAATTCCTAGTCTTGCTCACAGCCCTCATGGCTTACGCACCAGAACATACCAGGGAATATTTGTGACTGAAAGTCTACCCACGGCAGGAGTTGTGGATGAATCCAGGAGAAAAATTTTCAGCCACCTTTTCCTTGAATTGTTCCCTGCTCCCGGCACAGGCATCTCTGGGAATGACTTGCAGCAAACCCAGGGTGGCATTGAGGACGCAACCTTCACACTCCAGAAACCCTACCCTCGTTCCCTCTTGAGTCGGGAACCCTCAGAGTCCAAGGACTCAGAGTGACAGTCTGAGCTCCCCCTTCTGGTGACCTGAGATCTTCCCCTTAACTGTGTATCTGGCCTGGAGTTTCTCCCTTACATTCTGTTTCTACACAATACTATTCTTCAGGGCTTTCTGAAGCACAAATATTTCCTGTGACTTTAACCACACTCTCAGGTTTGCCAGCATAAGGTGACATAAACATCCCCCAAGTTTCTGTGTCCTCCTTGGACACGCATTAGCTTATTGCATCCCCAGGTATACTGGACCAAGCCAGACCCACTAGTTCTCCAGTAAGGACATGAAAGAAGTGGGAATTAAATACACTGTGGCTAACCAATACCACATATCAGGATAAGCAAATGAATTCAAAGCTGCTGTTGTAAGAACTAGTGTCATAGCCATAGCTGTTGTGCCAAATGTTGAATATTTTGTTCCTGCATTTTATCCCTATGAAGTGAGTACCATGCTGATTCTACAGAAGATGAATTAGAAGAGTTCAAAGAGGTTGAGAGGCCTGGCCAAGGTCTTACAGCTGGTAAGCAGACACTGAAATTTAAACCCAGCACTGTGATTCCAAAGCCCGTGTTCTTTGAAAAGACACTTCCTATGACAGACGCTGCTAGTTTCTTCTCCCAGTATCTGTCCCCGCTGCTTCCCCAATGATAGAACCCCTGAATCTTACCTAGGCACATGACCCTCTATCCATAGACATTTCCCATCATCCCTTGCAACAAGGAGTGGCCATGTGACACAATGTGGGTCAGTGAGATGTGAGTGGAAGTGTCATGTGATCCCTCTGGGAGGTCTCCATTAATCTTCCTTCCTGCTGCTCAGTGTGGATGCGGTGGCTGAATTGTGGCCGCTGTCTAGAACTATAAGGTATAGACCACTCACTGAATGCAGTAGGGCAGTAAGAGGGGAACCTGAGTTTTTGGTGGCTTCGTGAAGCCACCCACCATCCTGGACAACCTTTTTTATGTGTCCAGACTTTCTGTCACACACAGCAAAGCCTATGCCCAATATATTGTTTTTCCAGAATTTATAAAATAGATCCCAGGGGAAGGAGCCCTGTCAGGTACTGTCAGGTGTTGTGTTCTCACCGTCTTTTTTCTGATAGATATTCAACTATTTCAGTTAAAAAGTTTCTGCTGCTTAACTCTGAAAGTCACTTTAACTGTAAATCAGGAGCTGATGTGCAGCCTCCCCTCAAACGAAAGTGCCCCACCGCTTACGTTCTCTCAGGTTCGGGCTTAGCCTCGAATTATGGGAAGGTTTGTAACGGTGTCTAAAATTACTTTGACACCAGAAAGTCAGGCTGTGCCATTCAGGAACAGTCAGTATGTAATGATTCCCAGAACTATGGAGCTGAAGAGTCTTTGAGAAATCTAATCAAGTCTCTTCTTTCTACAGGTAAAGTGAGTTTCAAGTTAATTCCCTTCTCCAAATCACATGGCTGGTTGGGTGAGAAGAAGTGTTTCAACAAGGACCCTGTTCCAGTGGAACAAATCCCAAAATGCTGTCCTCCTCCAGTAACTGCCACCCCCCTCCACCCTTACCCCCATCTCCAGCCCAGGGAATTGTCTTGGTTTCTCTCCCTGGACTTGGGCAAAAGAGCTGCCTTACTGTGACTTCTCCAGGAAGTGGCTGCAGACAAGTAAACCACAAACATATAGTAGTGACAGTTTTCAATAATCAAAACCTCAAAAAAAGGTTGGAACCAAAATTGCTATAGTGTGGGAAACAGTAAATTTTTGGCAGGCCCAGAGGGGAAAAAAAATTAGTTTTGCAGCAAAACACTATTCTCCTGCCCTACTTTCTTTAAATGAGTTTTTAAATCACAGACAGCTTGACATTTCTGCTGGAATCTGAGTTGACCTTACTGGAAGAAAGAAATTTCAAGGGCAGCTCATTCCAAGTATTTGAGTTAGAATTCTATCCTTTTTTTCCCACCACATTCAACATAAGAAAACAGAGGCATATGAGGATAAGCAGAATCAGGCATAAGAAAAAGACAAAAATGGGCAAGGCACAGTGGCTCACGCCTGTAATCCCAGCACTTTGGGAGGTCGAGGCGGGTGGATCATGAGGTCCAGAGATAGAGACCATCCTGGTCAACATGGTGAAATCCTGTCTCTACTAAAAATACAAAAAATAGCTGGGCATGGTGGCGCTCGCCTGTAGTCCCAGCTCCTCAGGAGGCTGAGGGAGGAGAATTGCCTGATCCCAGGAGGCTGAGGTTGCGGTGAGCCGAGATCGCACCATTGCACTCCAGCCTGGGTAACAAGAGCAAAACTCGGTCTCAAAAAAAAGAAAAAGAAAAAGACAAAAATGTGTGAAGTGTGAGAGGAAGGAACAAGAATTCTGGAAGGTAGAAAGAGCTGACGACACAGCCCTAAGCTGGGCAGGTGGTGCAGCACGCACTGAGGTCCAGGTAACCATTACCTGCCTTTGATTCCCAGGTGTCTGCAGCTTCTGGTCATAGACAGTACATATAGCCTAAAGGGATGTAAGTGTTTACTCCACCTTTCCATTTAGTTTTTTTAAATTACAAAAAGACTGAAAAGTTGAAAACATACTATGACAAATGCAAGTATATATTTCACTACATTCTCCAATTGTTAATATGTTGCTGCATTTGTCTTATTCTCAATCTCTCTCCCTCTTTTTCTCTCACTATACACACACAGGCATATACACATTGACAAACACATCACAGACAGACACAGACACAGAGACAGACTTATTTTGTCCTGAACACCTGAAAGTTTTAGACATCATTAAGCTTCACCTCTAAATACTTCAGAATACATGCAGGAATGTATGTTTTTT